AAATCCATCTCACATCATTTACAGTGAGACTTTCAAAGGGCCATTGATCTAATAGTGATGGCTGTTGCACTTTGAGGGGAATTATGACACTCTTTATCTCACAGCTCTATTTATACATCAGAATTGAATTCCTTCCATGGAAAAACACAATCCTGTCATGTAATTCCAACTCCTGCAGCATACTGACTTGCTCTGTGATTACCATGGTAACACACCACTTTCTATCCTTCTCCTCCTGCTCCCTCCGTGCACTCAGAGTAACCCTTCCCACCGAGCTCACCAAAACCTGATCTGCTTCAACCTCCACAAATATCTCTACATGTAATAGCACAAGAGTGGAGATGACCCGGTGGTGACTCGTTCAGGTGGAGTTCATGCTCTAAACGTGCTGTCGCAGTCTGCGCAAAAATATATGACACTGTGTCAAACGCACAGCCCACGATGAATAATTGATCAGAAAGGCATTTAACATTCCAACCAGCAAAAAGGGAGTCTTTTCCCAGCCTAATGGTGACCAGGGAGAGGCACAGTGGAAAGGGGCAAAGCATCCTGAGGAGAGACGGTCCTGCTCTGTTGTGTTTCCTGCAGGTTTAAAACAGCTCATTTCAAAGCTTTTACAAGTGTGCCACACTCTATCTATTTCACAACAAGAGTCTCTCTCTCTCTCTGTCTCTCTCTCACACACACAAAGAGCAGCTTGAAGGATGCTCATGAGTGAGGATTTTCACTGGAGACCTGTGTTTTAGTCCTTTTAGCTGAATTTATCAACAGCAATTCAAACTTCATTACTGCTGCTCTACTGTACTCTAACTGGGGGCCATCCTTCTGTGGTCCACCCCCCCGGTGTAGACCAGGGCTGCTCTCCCCAGCAGTGTTCTGCTGAGGCTAAAGGGAGATCAGTTCCCCACGCAGAGCACCAGTGGGTTTATCCAGAACCTCATTTTACCACTCCAGAAAAGACCTGGAATATTCCATAGACAAGCTCTGCATTCTCAGAAGAGATGACCATCTGACCCCCGTTTGCAGAGCTTCACAGACTGTCCTGGAGCTGGAGCTCTGATCTCCAGACTCATTACACAGCTCTCCAACAGGGCATAGAGCAGATTACTAATATCAAAGCACACGCGTGCCCTGTGGTGGAGCTGCACATCACACTCCCAGCCCTCCTGCTTCATGCTTTAATGACTACTGATGCAGCCCCCGGGGGGGGGGGGGGCCGCAGTGACATAATTAGAGCTAAAGGAAGGAAGTGTGATGGCTCCATTGTGTGTTGGGTGTGAGACAGGTTCTCCACTCACCTCTGGCCCCCGCTCCTGCACATGGCAGGACTCGCTGTCCCCCTCTGAGAAGGATCCGGACTCATCGCTGGAGTTGGTTCCGTAGGACTGCTCGCACTTGATCTTGGGCCGCACTTGGCTGAAGAGGGCGTCCCCCGGCCCGCTCTGCTCCTGCGGGTCCACGTTGAGGCAGCGGGCCACGTTGGAGCAGGGCGAGGAGGAGAACTCGAACTGGGGCAGGCTGCAGGGGGAGCCCCCGCTGCCGTCCTCCGCGTAGGAGTAGGAGGAGCAGGAGCTGGAGGTCCGGGTCCGCGCCTCGCAGGGGGGCGAGCGGGGGCACACTTTGATTGGCACCGGGCAGCTGGTGTTGGGCCGCGGCCGACACAGGGCCGGGGGCTCGGAGGAGGCGGCGCTGGGGGAGTAGGTCTGGGAGTTGGGGAGGGACTGGCTAGCTCCGGCCCAAAGGCCCTTGGTCATGTGCTCCGAGAGCTCCATCTCCAGAGAGCGGCCGCCTGGGTAGGAATGCGCTGGTGTTCCCAGACGGCTGCAGGCCCCTGAGGAGAATATGACACTGCGGCGGTCCAGCTCCACTTCCTGTTTACACACGCCGTCGCAGGAAGCAGCCTTGAGCGTCAACCCTGCAGGGAAAGCATCCGCATCCTTTGGGGACATTACAGACAGAGCCAGCTCCCCAGGGAAAGGCCGTGAGTCTTTTTTATGATCTCCCTGAGAGGTTCCTTTGTCCTGGGGGCAGGCCGGTCTGTTGGTGAATAGCTGCTGGGATGCGGTGGACAGACTGGGCAGGTCCACCCCTTTTTTGAAGAAGGCTTGGAGACAGGATGGAGAACTCGTTCTCTTGGTTCTTTCCAGAGGTGCGGGATGGTCCATTTCCATGGCTGTCACACTGTCCTTGTCCCTGCCCTCCTGCTCGTCCCCTGACAGACATAATGAAATGGCCTCCTCCTCTCCTTGTGGTTCCACCTTTATCTGTGCCAGGGGCAGCCGGCCCTGGCCGGGCACCGCCCCGCTAACACTGCTCTCCGTCAATGTGCTTGGAAAACCTGAGGTACTGGTGTGTGAGGAGGTGTCATTATTGTGCTTGTTGCAAGCCCACTGATATTTCCTGTATTTGGGGCAGCGGGGAAGGTCTGATGCTGCGTGCCGATCAAAGTCCAGCCGGCCATCCGTCAAGTTATTGGGCACAGTCATTTCTAGCCTTTCGTGGTCGGGATGTCGGAGGGAGGTGTCTGTACAATGCCGTACCCTGGGGGAGCTGGGCCTCTCGGACTCTGACTGCATGCTCTCGTCCTCTGAGTTGTTTGCTACTGCTTCCCCCTTGTGGCAGAGCAGTACGCTGTCCTCTTCCCTGCGAAGCTGAGCTTCCAGAAAGCGAAAGCATGAGTCCTCCAGGTTGTGCATGCGCAGGAATTCGGCACAGCGGATGACCTCTTGAATGTTTTCTCTGCTGAGTAACAGCTTAGCAGTGTAGGCAAACTGCAACAATGGGGCGAATCCCCTGGCAGTGACCTGCAAAAAAACAGGGAAATTGCCAGCATTACCATCAGCACAGGCATTGTTTCCAGCACTTGGAGTGTGGTGAGACAAACCGACAGCTCCAGTGAACACAAACAAACACTGAAACGTAGCAGTTAATCTTTCTATCGGGTCAGCACTGCATATTCAGCTCAACAGTAAGTAAGAACTGACGCTCTGGGAATGGAGTTAGTCGTGTGTTCAGTCTCAGAGGAAAAGCACTTATGCCACATTCCACCCGTCCACCACTGTCTGCCCTGTGGTCCTATCAGCGGCTTTGTGTACACACAACCCCGTCACTGCTCCGGCTGTGTGAAAAAAACAAAAACACAACTGTTCCTATTTTTTGTATTCACTCACAAACATATAGAAAGTTTAATGTCTGAAACGTGTGATTCGTCAGACGAGAAAAAATGAATTATCAAAGTTCTTTGAGACTCTTTCAGTGGCTCGAGTCATTGGCTGGATTACAGATTTAGCCTCAGCAGGCCAAAGGTAAACTTTCATTTCAGAAAGAAGCGGTTTGATTGTAGCAGGGTGCTCAGATCAGGTTATAGCTGAGCTTCACTTTCTGTGTCAGTGCCTTGTGTCCTCGGGTCAAGTGCTCGTAAAGCCTGAGGGTTTGTAAGACCACAGCTTATCCCTGTAGTGGCCATGTGGCAGGGGATGACAGAGGGAAGCCATCCATTTAGACTTAATGCCAGATAATTAGGTAAACTCCTGAGCCTGCAGAGTTCCAGGCTGCCCTCTGCTGCTGTTGTCACAGAGCACAGACACAGGGGAGAAGAGCCAATGAGCAGACAGGTCGCATTAGCCCGTCTCCATCTCTCAACTCATGCTGTCAACAAGCCCCTATTGTTTTCTGCCGGTCCGTGTTCTGGAGACAAACCCTCTAACGTTTGGTGGTAGAAGAATGCAGTCGCTTTCAAAGGTGTGACATAATAAGAGTGCTTTCACTCTACATCAGTCCCAACATTGTTTGTCTACAAAGCACAGTCTTAGTGGCTCAGTGAGTCAAATCTTTATCTCAAGACAGATGCACGAAGAAGAACGTGAAACTAAATAAATGAGACATTAGCAATGGGTGGTTGTGTGGAGGGCAAAGGCCCTGAGCGTTGTGCAGAGGACGGCTTCAGTGGGAAATGTGGAGGCAGGGAGACTTTCCACTTGGAAGATGTCCACTCTGTAATGGTCACTTTATGTCACAGCTCTCTTACAGCTCCTTATGGAGGCTTGAGGCAATCAGTGCTCATTTCTCATCCTTTGTTGCTTGCTTTGTGAAAAAAGCTAACTGTGTCCTGTGTTGTTGCCAGTGCAGATTAGCCCTGAACCCAAAATAAAGTTTGGGATTATGTGATTAAACACAGATACTATGTATCTTTTAACCAGCTTCCAGCATGTCACAGACTGAGGCGTCCCTCTTACATAGAAACAACCAAAACGGTATAATATCTACCTGCCCCTCCTTTAGAAACGCTCTATTGCCTCAACCATTTATACCGTTGTTACACATTCATACATATTTGTACTCACACACACACCTTTCCATTAACACCTCACAACACTACTGACTGCAGTGCTTTTAAAAAGTCATGAATAAACAGGTTTTCTACATCATGCTGTTTGCAGCTCTCTGCTTTTAGTGCCTGTTCAGAGTACCTAAACTGTCAGATCTTTCAGGATTTCTGTTCTGCTGTTGTATGGCAAACTGAAACATATTTCACTCCGTTCTTACTGCTCTGTGAGCTACAGAGGAAATGTAGGACTGAGCACGTCAAATGAAACACTTGTAAAATAAGTGTTTGCTTATGTTGGCCTAAATTTAAACCACACACCTGCTGGGTATTTAGTATGATGAGGCAACAGGCTGCCAGGTATTTAAGTAGTCGATTGAGGATTTATTCCGGGGGCTTTGAGGCCTGCGGGGTGCTGCTGGGTTTGCAGTCTAAACTTCTCTCCTCGGTTACCTGCTCACACCAGACGGCAGCATCCTAACATGGGCGGGACATAAAGCCCCTTATGGGCTGCTGTGGCTAGCAGAGGAGCTTGCAGCATTGCACACATCAGTCATTGTTAGGAGAAAGCTGCTGACTCCATATCTGTGAGGGGGGATGGTGCGTGTGTGTGTGTGTGTGTGTGTGTGTGAGGGTGATGGATTGGGGGCGAGGGCTGAGGCTTTGACTGGACTATCAGATCTACTGATGAGCAGAGCTGCTCCCTGTGTCTGCACACTACCCCCGAAACGGGAGTCATTGTTAGACCTTTAAAATACGTGCTGATTTTACAGAAATAGATTTGAACTATTTAAACAAAATTAGTGCAGTGTCCGCATGAAAAGGCATCTGTGAGAATCTGTGAGGGGGGAACATGCCAGTAAAATTCAGTTTGGTTCAGAGGTGAATCGCTGTGACTAAAAGCCGAATGTTTGGACTTTCTGATTTCCGGTGATTCATCCTCATCAGAGCAGAGTGTAACTATTGTAGTGGAAACTAACACTAAACTGTTTACACGGTACATCGGTAGGGTTTTACAGAACATATAGCTGAGATCAAAACAAAGCTTGCGGTTGGGGATTAGTGAGGCTTGGCCTCCTGAAGACTGCATTGAAGGTGTTGGACCAAGATTCATAAAGGTAAATGTGGCTCTGCAGATGTTTTTAGTAGGCACTTCAAAGTTAGAGCAGTTATTCAGGTGTTTCTAAGTCTATTTATAGGGACATTTGTGAACCAACTAAATCAGAGGTAACTATAAAAAAAACCCTATGTTGACAACAAAATGCAGGTTTGAAGATGAGTGTTTGAACGCTATCGTCTGACTGGCTAAAAAAAGTTCCAACCCTGGATTACAGCTATTTCTACCATTTTATTTGAGCACTTTGAAGAAGATAAAATAAATTTAGGTCAGACACAAATGAGAATACTCACAAGTTCCTTCAAAGTGAAAGAAACTGAAGTGTACCTGTGTGTGCAAATGTTCAGAACCACTTCCATTCAAACCATCCTGGGCATTTGATTTGAAATGTACCGCTAACCATGTGCCAGTAAAGGCTCCCTGCAGGCATACATACGGACATGGAGTGATGGAGTGGCAGTGGAGGCTTTAAAGAGGTGGCTGATCTGCTGTATCCGGGGCTGCTGATAAACAGCAAAGCTGCTGGAGGAAAATTGCTGAGCGAACCAGGGATCTATTTTCGGCTAGTATCAGCAGCGGCTGCCTGTGGGAGCGCATCTTTATGAGTGCTCTCCACTACATACAGTGATTACTTCACTGTTACGAGATGCACAGCAGCCTAACGAACAAAACCCTAAAGAGGTAGACAGGGTAGAGAAAGGGAGAAGAATGATTACTGCAGGGGGAAAAAGGCATGAAAATGAGAAAAGAGGAGATAGGTAAAAGGGTAGGCATGAAGGATACACAGAGTTTAGCTGGTATTTAATGAACACGACATTTGAAATATTACAGCTATTACAACACTTACCAGGTGGGACAAAGACTAAAATCCACACCAGAATGAGCCGAGCTCACATTGAATGGCCTCAGAAGTCTTTCATAACAGGATGAGCAGTCCTGCAGCATCCCTCATCAATAACACTTACTACAGCATTTTGCCTTCAAGGAGAGGGCTAATTTATGCAAATGGTCTTGGGTAAATTCCTGCATGTCATCCATACTAATGACGCAACATGCCAGTACTTTTCTGCACAACAGAAAATACTCCATGAGACAGCAGCCAGCGCCTGGACATCAGATCTGCTGAGTAACCTCCCATTAACCTCTGAGAGGCAGACGAAAGGTAGCAAAGACACAATGCTAATGAAATAATGAAATGAAAGAGCTGCTGACTCCACTGTCACGGTGAGGACCGTTAAGTTGCTGGAAGAGGAAGAGCTTATGGCTAACATGAGGCCAGTAACTTATCTAACTACTGGTTAACCAGATATTGAATCATTGGAACTGCATTATACTGAAAAATACATGACGGACTGCAGGTTTCTTTCTCTAAAATGACCTAAGATCAGGCTGGCAGGAGTTACATGTCTGCCTGTGGAGAGATGTTATCAGGAAACAACTGGAAATGCAGTAAAACTCCAGAGGTGGGTTCATAAAAACAAAAGGAAGGCAAATATTGATCGTGGATTCAATGCTCTTAGACGGTAGTGCAAGATTGATGTGCCCCGAAAGCAAACTTTTGTTTTTGAAAAAAATGTGTCACCATCGAGTTGGCCAATAGATCATGTAAATATCAGGGCTGTGGTTTATACATCTGGATTAGCTGACGCTGAATGGCCGTGTGCCATAGCGTTACCAATGCTTTAGGGGGAAGGAATGGCAGACAGTCAAACCTTTACATGCGTGCCCCAAGGCTCAGTCCTGGGTCCCCTGCGCTTTATGAGGTACACCACTTTGCTGGGCCCAGTAATCCAGTCACATGGCTCCTCCTATCACTGCTATACAGACCACACCCAGCTCTATCTGTCCTGTCCTGCACCACCTCAGTACCAACGGGAATCTCGGACTGTCTATCTCACATTTCTGCAGGGAGGAAAGATCACCACCTCCAAGACTGAACGGCTCCTCATCCTAGCCAAGCAAACTATTGACCACAACCTCAGCATCCAGACAGACTCTATCTGTGGCACATCACCCACCAGGGCTGTAAGAAACCTGGGAGTCATGATTGATGATCCGCTGACCAGCCAAAGAGAGCAGGTCACCTCCCAGTTCGCTAAACTCCTCTGGCTTCCCTTAGCTGCACGCATCACATTCGATTCTGACGCTGGCCTACAGGGTGTTGGATTGATCTACCCTCTACCTCAGTGTTTTCCAACCCCTGGTCCTCGGTACACTAGTGTGCCGTTAGTGATGGTCAGGTGTGTCGTAGAAAATCATCCTATTTCACCTAATTGGTTTAAAAAAATTTTTTGATAAGGAATCAATTTTCTGCAAATAATATTCCATTTTTGAGTGTGTGTGCTGTTCTAGTGACTGGTGGAGTAATCATGTAATAATTCCTTATGACTAGATTTTGTATTTAATTTTGTATATTGAAGTGGACATGTTAATTGCAATTT